GATGTTGTACCTGCAGGAAATGACGGAAAGGAGTTTTGAGTGTATTCATGAATTTCATGCGAAAGACTCATCCCACGCCTTGGGCAACATGTTGTACTTCCAGTGGAGTGTTGTGATTGCAGTCACAGTCGCAGTCGCAGTTGCAGTTGCAGTCACAGTTGCAGTCGCAGTCGCAGTTGCGGTTGCAGTCACAGTTGCAGTCGTCGTCGCAGTTGCAGTCGCAGTCGCAGTTGCAGTCACAGTTGCAGTCGCAGTCACAGTCGCAGTCGCAGTTGCAGTTGCAGTTGCAGTCACTGTTGCACTCGCAGTCGCAGTTGCAGTCACAGTTGCATTCGCAGGTGCAGTCGCAGTTGCAGTTGCAGTTGCAGGAGGTCCGAGGCTGGAACTACACTTGCTTTCCTTGCTATTTCTGAGAACTCAACTCTTCAGGTACGCAAAGCTTAGTGAAGCTCACTCTTGGCGTGCTGCTTGACGGGCGTGCTGGGCTCGTCCGTGCCGTGGCCACCTAAGAAGAGACACACTACAAAACAAACTTCCCCTCATCACTCACGGGTAGTATCGGATTTTGCCCTTCTTGACGTCCTGCTTGATGGGCGTGCCGGGCTCGTCAGTAGCAACCTCCATCTTGGCGCTCGTGTCCTTGGGGATCTCGCAGATGAAGTTGAAGAGACCATCACCAGCCCTCAGGGGAATGTCGTGCCACGGGGACAACTGCCGCGGAAAGAGGGCGAGTGTAAAGGGAGGGCGGGGGGAGTGGAAAGGGAGGGGCGGGGAGTGGAAAGGGAGGGCGGGGAGTGGAAAGGGAGGGCGGGGAGTGGAAAGGGAGGGCGGGGAGTGGAAAGGGAGGGCGGGGAGTGGAAAGGGAGGGCGGGGAGTGGAAAGGGAGGGCGGGGAGTGGAAAGGGAGAGGGGGGGGAGTGGAAAGGGAGGGCGGGGAGTGGAAAGGGTGGGGAGTGAGCAGCAAGCAATGGAGAAAGAATCTGGTCAGTTGGCGACCTCCATCTTGGCGCTCGTGTCCTTGGGGATCTCGCATATGAAGTTGAACAGACCATCACTGGCGCGCAGCGGAATATCATGCCACGGGGACAGCTGCAGGGAGGGAGGGGGGGGGGAAGGGAGAGTGGGTGGGGTAAAATATTTGCGAACCTCTTTCAAGTCACTCAAGGTCCGTACGATAACTATGAGAAGTACTCACTGGTCGGTACAGTGCGTTTGGCATCACAGCATGAGACAACGTGTACTCGATACGATGCAGAGTGTTCGCAACACAGGGCGTCGTCATTACCAAGATGATACTCACGGTTTCGCCCTGGTCGTTTTGACTTTTGAGGTGCCTCAAAAGTCGTCATTCCCAAGATGATACTCACGGTTTCGCCCTGGTCGTTTTGACTTTTGAGGCGCCTCAAAAGTCGTGATTCCCAAGATGATACTCACGGTTTCGCCCTGGTCGTTTTGGAAGAAGAGGCGGTACTCGAGCGTCTCGAACTCGCCGGACGGCGATCGGCTGAGCGACCGGGTGAGCTCCGCGCACACCACGGGGCTGCGGTGGAACGACCTGCGCAGTGCGGAGGGGGGGATGGGACGAAGGGAAGAGGGGAAGAGGGAAAGAGGGGAAGGACTCAATCACAACCGCTGAGCTCCGCGCACACGGTGGAACTAGCTGCGGGGTGCGGAGGGGGGAAGGAAGGAGAGGGGGGGGGGGAACGGGGGTGGGGCAAAAAGAATGAGGAGGGGAGGGGGGAAAAGGGGGTGGGCGAGAGGAGAATTGGTTCAAGGGAGGGGAGAAAAAGGGTTCGAGACATAAGGTGGGGGGAACACGATGAAATGAGAATCTAATCCCCAGGGGATTCGACTTGTCGAACAGCTCATGCCATGCCGGCTCAACGCGCGCCACGTGGCAGCGATGGAAGACTAGCGGCCGCGAAGGAAATCGCGTCGCAGCGAACGCTAGGTATTAACACGAGGGACCAAACAGGAAGCTTTGAGACATCTCGAATATTCATTCCCTGAACTATTTCCCGGCCTTTTTAAATTAGACAGAATGAATGTTTCAATGTGAGCCAGAATTGAGGCATTACCAACCATTGCTACCTCGTTAGCAATTAGAGCAGTAAATCACTGACAGTAAGCAGCCAATAGCACATCGTGAAGGCCGATCACTGCAGTGCCTCCTGAGACATGCATTTTTTAGCAGCCAACCTTTAGTAGGGATGCTAACGTAAGTACCTCGCGAGGAATGAGAAAGGCAGTACCTGGTGAGGGACCAGGTGGGACGCTGCACCATCTGGTGGGCGCTGAATCCCGCCGCCTTTAGCGGCGCAATGGCCGCCGTCTGCAGGGACCCCAGCGCGGGAGCCGGCGCCCTGAGCGCCGACATGGCGGCCCGTGAGGCGACGCGCGTGCAAGTCGCGAGGGAAAGAGCCGCCATTCTGGAAACAGCCATTGGGAGCGGCGACGAGATTAGAATTGGGCGACCCGACGAGAATAATACACGAAGTCTGACGCGAGGACGACCTTTCTCGAAAGAGCCCGTCAAAGAAGGATCGCCAACTGACCTGGAGGCGGTGTTATTTGAAGGGTAAGGTGGGGAAGGCGGGGAGCAGGCAGATAAGGTACGCCTGAGGACGAGGCGAGTGTCAGACGACCAGATTCAATGTAAACTCCAAAGCCTGCTTTCTGAAAGCGGGAAATGAATGTGCGGTGATCACTCGAGTATGGCTTGGGTGTGGGTGACTTCGGCTGATGAGTTGAAAAGATGAACTTGCTGTACTTTTAGTGGTACAGTACACTCGATGCTCAGCCACCCCATAGCTAGAATCTTTCAAATCCGCCCTGATAAGTGTTTGGTGCGACGTGTGTGTGTGACGCTAACGAATACGCTAGATCCTACATGTGGCAGTTTCTGGGAGGTCGACGGCGTTCAAGGGCTGAAATGGTGACGGATCCAGGTCACGCTGCCAGGTGGAGCTCCTTTTGATAGAAAAAACCTGCCACGCTGGTATGGGGAAGGTGTTTATGGTTGGAAAATGTGACGATCTCGTCCTCGATTGTGAAGTCTCCGTAACTTCACTTCGCCTTTCGTGAACTGTATTCAGAGATAATTATTTCAAGTAACGAAGCTTGGCTCAAATCAATCAAACATGCTTCACCTCCAAGAGATCACATGAGGACGTGCACCTCTAGAAATTTGCACGATCGATCGCAGGATCGCTGATTCCACCGCACTGAAATCCTGATGAAAGCATTCATAACTTCCAAAACAGTTTGAAACACCTTAAAAATTCGATCATGCGCAGGCTCGATCGCAGGGTCGGTGCTAGAGGTGCCGCGTCCTGACACAGCTTGACTGGTGGAGTGTGGCAGCCACTCGTCAGCGAAACACAACCTGAGACCCCTGTCGCCAGCAATTCTCTCCCTCTGTGTTACACCACTCCATGCATCCTTCAGGTTCGCCAGCCTGGAACTTTTTGTCACGCCCAATAGCTCTCTAAGGACGCGGTGAAAGTGGAGAATCGATCGCCAAAGGATCGCTTTTTAGCGCGGTTATTAAAGGTTGTGTACTTTTCTTGTCTAAAATGCAGGGTTCAGTGCGGTGACCGAATCGATCTGCCCCCAATCGAGTACTTTCACCGCGTCCTAAGCCCTCAAGATGCCGGTTCGCGCTGCACCAATGGGAAGATCCACCTTGGAGTTACCCTACACAAACTTTGTCGCCAACGTGCTTCGCAGCAGTAGCGGAACCTCCACCCCTCGAATCGCGTCCGTAAATGCTTGTACCTACCTCGCAAGGTCACATCGTTAGTTTGGCCCAATTCCTCCCCTCACTCACGTCTCTAGTTAGGCCCAATTCCTCCCCTCACTCACTGCTATTTTCCTGGTCTTAGCTCCTAGAAATCCGAAGTCCAGTACATATTACCGCGTGATATGCCTAGACTGCATCATCCCACGAGCATAGGCAACGTGTTGTTCGCACGAGGCCAACCCGCCGAATCCAAAGGGAGGCTTGTTGATTCTGCAGTATACTAGTTCCTGCATTCTCGCGTTGAAAATACAATCTGGTGTAGTCTCCATTACGATCGCGTTGGAAGCCATCAACCACACCAGCGACAGCTCACGAGGGCTTCAACTAGACATCGGCTACCAAAACAATCACGTTCACTTTCTAATAAGCTTCGTCAAAAAACCATCTCAGCCCACCTGTCTGCATTTCTACTACTCCTCTCAAATGCCCGAATCTGCGCGCGAGATTAAAGCCTTGGCCCACTAATAACGTGTCCGACCACAACCTCAAGAATGTCTCTCACAAGCTTCGATCTAACGCGGTACCTCCTCACATCCCTCGTTCTTATCTCCTTGCTAGCTCCCTCGCACCTACTAGCGGTCTGCAGCACGCATGACAATGGCGCCGATGCCGACTCGCCTCGGACCGCGTCACAACCACTGGCACAGACCCTCCACCCGCACAGCCTCGTACTGCCACGTCGGAGACTCCAAGCTGGCGCCGACGGCCGACGTGGCAAGATCCAATTGGAGCGGCCAGTAGCGGCGGCGGAGCCGCAACACCAGGCCGTAATTGACGGCGGCGTTAGACCCGCCGCCGTGACGGCATCCAAGCCGCCAGCAGCAATCCTACTGGCTGCCGCTCAAGGCCGTCGGGAAGCAGCGGACACTGCGGCGGGGAATGCGGGCAGTAGAGAGAGGACACAGGGTGGAAGCACGCTTAAGGAGGGTATTCTAGGAAAGTCTCTAACTCAAGTCGGCCTGATCGACTATTTCTCGAAGAGAATAGGACCCGCGGGCCGATCGAAATCCAAGCCGCGACTGCCCCTCTGCCCCGAATTTGCGCCGCCTCTCGCGGGTGCGTCCCCCGCCGTCGTCTCCGCTTGTCAATGGGGCGACCCGCTCTCACCCTCGTACTCAGCTACGGCCGATGGACTGGGATCTTCAGGCTCGGAATTAGGTTCGGCTTCGCTTGGTGGTCCGGGAAAAGCGGCGCAATTTATGGGCGACTGGTTGCGGTGGAAGCGGGAGGGAGGAGAGGCGGCGGAGAGGGAGTGTATGCGGCAGCGCGGGTGGTTCTACGCGGGAATTGCGGAGGAAACGTGCGACTTGAGCGCGCTCCGCGCTGCTCAGGCGGCTTCCCCGTGGGTCGCGGCGGAAGGTGCGGCCGCTGCTGACGTGGACGGCAGCGGAGGTGGCATACTCGTGCTGCGTGACGTGTACGTCAACGCTCAGGGCCTGGTGTTCAACAAAAGCCACGTGTTCGTCGTTGATAGGTGCGGATCCGGCCAATGGAAGCAGCAACAACCGCAGCAGCAGCAGGTGAAAGTTCCCTCCTACCCACCTGGAACCAGAGTCACTGTTCACCCCCACCTGATAAATCTCCTGCCGTACGAAGGCCACGAGGAAGAAGAGGAAGAGGATGAGGAGCAAACAGGAGGGAGTAATTCCAGCCCAAACGGCGGCAATCCCGAGGGGCGGGAGTGGGTGGCACAGGCGCGGCTGCACAACAGCAAGGAGCGGCTGGTAGCGCGGCTGCTGCCCGCGCTCTTCCTGCTCTCCTCCGCCCTCATGCCCGCCGCCCGCCGCTTCCCTCTGCTGCTCGCCGACCGCCACGTGCTCTTCCACCTGGGCCTGGGGGTCTTCGGTACGGACCTCTCGTCCCTCGCCATCTCACCCGAGTCTCCTTTGCTCGGCGACAGCCGTGATCACCTCTTCTTCGCCAAGCAGCTCTACGTGGTGAGTGCTCGCTTCCTATTCTGCTTCTCTTCTAGTCATCCTCTGCTGCTCTCCTCCTCTGCTGCTCTCATCAACCATCGCCCTTGGCCCAAACCCCTGCTCTCCCACCCACGAGCCCATCCACAGCGGCCTCTCTGCTTTCTCTACTCTCCTTGCAACCACACATCAACTCAAATATATTCCCCCCCCCCCTTCCCATCCCCTCCCCATCCTTCCCAACGCTCCTGCTCCTCCCCACCACCAGCCCATCCACGTCAGCAGTCTCTGCGGCCTCTCTGCCGCCGGCCGCCCGTCCCGCCCTGACGCGCTCTGGCTCGCACTGCGGGCCAACCACCTGCTGCCACGTGGCGGCCTGCCCATCCTCAACCCCGATTGGACGCCCAACCCGCCCGCCCCTTATAGTCACAACGTAGTCCTAGGAGGGCGATCTGTGCCTAGAGACTGGGTGGTAGTGGTTTCACTAGTATGGAGTTCCCATGTTATGAGGGAAGGGGGAGGGGTTGGGGGAGGGGTGGGGAATGACGGAGAGGGAGCAGACGGAGCAGCAGAAGCAGAAGGGGAGGGAGGACAGGGAACCGGAAAGGGGAGCAAAGGATCAGAAGGAGCAGCAGCAGCAACAGCAGAAGGCATGCAGTCAATAATCAAGTTCCTACAGCACATCTTTTCCAAATCCCGGGTAGTTGTGTACGATGAGCATGTGCCTCTCACAGAAGCCCGCGCGCTCTTCTCCCGCGCGCTGCTGCTTGTGGGTCCCACCTCGCCTGCGCTCTCAAATCTCATCTTCCTGCCGTTCAATGCAACTGTGATTGAGATTCTCCCCTACTCTGCCCCGCAGTCCACCACAGCCACGTATCCTTTCCTACCAACCACCAACATTTCCTCCCCTTCCTCCTCCTCCTCATCATCATCAGCACCTCTTCCCTTCGGTATCCAAGCGTCGGTCGTCAGCCAACAGGACTCCGCCACGTGGCACTACCGCCTTGCAGAGCGGGCGGGCGTGCGGCACTTTTTGTCCGCTTGCGACCCGGGCTGGATCAAGCGCGAGCTAGGGGAGCAGTGCCACGTCAGCGAGGTGTACAGCATTGTCATGACAGCTGTACGAAGCGGATGGCCAGCGTGGGAGGACCTTGCCAACGTGCCACATCACCCTGCCTTCCCACCTGCCACCCCTCCTGCTGCTGTAACTGCCACTGCTGCCACCGCTGCTGCTCCAACCACCACCCAACCATCACCACCCACCCTCCCAAATTTCCAAGATGCCATCCCAGGTTCAAGGCTCCAATCACGTACCGGCGCAGTGCAATCATTCCGGCAGTGGCTATCCTGCGTGGCAACGCGGGGCGAGTGGCGGTACAACCCCACCCCCCGCGTGCTGCCCTGGAACTGGAAATCCATTGACCACTGCGACATGAGGCACGTTGACCAGGTCAAAGGGGGGGTGGCGTACGCAGAAGCAGACGAAATAGCGAGGCAGGGCGGGCGGGACGCGGAGAAGCGGTGGCGGGTGAGGGAGGAGTTGAAGTATGAGTGGGTGGTGCCGAGGGGGCGATGCCCTGCTGTTGCTGCTGGGGCGTTTGGGTCAGTGCTTGGGCCAGAGAGTGAGAGAGAGGCAAGAGGGGGAGGGGAGGTTGGGGGAATGGATTATGACGACAGCGCTGGTGATTCTACCGCTGACTCTGCTACTGCTGCTGCCGTTGCTGCTGGCGCTGGTGGCGCTGATGAGGGGCTGTTTTCACGCTTTGACGGGCAATCCCTGTGTCAGTTGGCCCGATTGCGGGACGACGGCCTTCGGATCGCTTTCCTCGGAGATTCCCTCTCCAAGGAGGCGCACACCTCCTTCCTCAACAACATACTTAAGCACGTGCCAAAACCGGCCTCAAAAGCCGTCACTTTTCGCAAATGCATGCCATGGCTTGGGACGCACACAGGGTACTGTCATGAGCGATTCACCGGCCTTGGGTGCTCCGGGCTGGAGCTACACTTTATATTCAATAAGAGGCTCATGCCGGTGGATTCGGAGAAGGACGAGCGGCTGTGGTGGAAAAACATGCCATGGCTTGACGACCCGGGGATTGCAAATTCTCATGTCTTGGTGATCAACAGAGGGGCTCATGCTGCGACTGATGAGCGGCTGGTAACTGCCGTGCGACGCACGTTGCAGTTTGTCCGGCAGAATTACCCGGAAAAACTTGTGGTATTCCGGTCAACTGCCCCAGGGCACGTGGGCTGCACAAATGCCACAGGACCTTTGAAGCAGCAGCAGGACCCAAAAACGCTCCCTTTTGGGTGGGGGCAATTTAAGCGTCAGAATGAGCTGCTGAGAGGGGTGGTGGAGGAGATGGGAGCTGTGTTTATGGACATTGAGCCTATGACTGCGCTCAGACCAGACGGGCACAGGGGAAGGATCACGGAGCAGAAGACTGACTGCTTGCACTACTGCTCGCCAGGCCCTGAGGATGCCTGGAGCGAGTTCCTGTATAACATTATTCAGAGAATAGTGCCCGAGTACTAGGCTTATATTGAAAGGATATAGAAACGTTCTTACCGTAACTTGAATTTGCTTGGAAGTTAGAGAAACAAATTGAGTATACCGTACGTGCCAAGTTGCGGACAAAACCAAAACACGAGGGTCTCAGAAAGCACATCAAGAATTCAGTATCTTCAGACCCTCACCATCTTAGCATCCAATGCAGGGTGGAACGTAAACCAGTACAATATCATTCAAAGATTCGTGTATTCGCATTCAGCCTAAAGGTGAACCTGTGTTTGTTGGATCTTCAACCATTTTCTTGCGTAGATTTGCTTTTCCACTATAAGGGTATCGTAAATTTTCACAATTTCTGTAGATTGGTTTAAAGAAGCGAACCACAGGTCCATTTAAGTATCTACACGTAGAAACAAAAGCCTTTCAGGCGAAGTACTAACTCTTCAGACCTCGAGCGGACTCCTTAAGGCTTCTTGCAGCTGCACCCTGCGCCGCAGCCGCATCCGTCGCCGCAAGTGCAGGCGCCGCCAGATGCGCAAGCGCGGGTCTTGCAGGAGCACCCTTCCCCGCAGGAGCAGGAGTCGCACGCGCAAGTCTCGCCGCACGCGCAGGAAGCACCGCCCTGTAAGGTGGATGACAACGGCGAACATTAGATTCGCGTTACTTAATCAGCCTCCACGTGTTACAAACAAGAGGCACGCGAAGTTGAAAAACAACCGCCAGGGCGTGGAAAATATTAATGGATACTCCTCATAAGACGGAGAGGGTGCACCAAGTTGACCTACCTTGCAGGAACAGCTAGGTCCGGCCTTGCATCCAGCTCCGCATCCGCACGAGGCCCCGCCAGTAGCGCAGGAGCATCCTGTGCCGCAGGTGCACTCCTTGTCAGCCATGGCTAGAAAAACGAGGAGGCGAGAATATATAAGGAAGGGCGGTAGCAGAACAAAATAGAGAAACTTCGACAAGAATTCAGACTGATTGTAGCCAATTCTGTAAGATGGTACTTATAGGCGGAGATTCCCAGAGAATCCCCAAAGCTGTGCCGCCAAAAATACGATGGAAACCAACTTTGAGGTTACTGGGGCAGGTGGAGTCTGCTGGAGAAATTTGAACGACGAGGAATTTCATTGTGATGCTGGCGTCGCTCATCGAAGAGGAGCAGAGAATGCGGTTCGTGATATGGATTGAACCAATCGACATGCATCGCTGGCACAGGTGAAGCGTGGTTTGGTGTCCACCAACAGCCATGTAATCGAAAGTGGTGTAGGTTGCACCAATAGCTTACGTAAAGCCACGGACACGATCGCATATTCCACGTAGGACAGTCCGGGGAAACCGCGCGCCGATCTGAGATCAGAACCGCCTTGCACCTTTCCGCCTTGCACAGAGTGGTAACAAAGGCCATGACAACGGCTCGCGACTGGGTGAAAAATGTTACAATTGCCATTATTCGTTTTCCCGATGTTGCACCACAAGTACAGAGTTCTCAACGTTGTGCAAAAAGCTTGGGTGAAACAAGGCACAAGTTTGAGGCACAGTATCCTAAATAAAAAAAGGGTTAACACGATTCAACCTGTAAAATCCGACCAAGACCAAGCAACTACAGTAACAGCAAGAGTTTCCTAAGAAATGCCAGCAGGAGCTTCAATGGCAGTGGAAGTGGCAGTGCCCGTGTTGCCATTGAGAACCGTCACATTGCCATCAGCATCAACGTCAATGATGGCACTGTCGCCCTCCTTGATCTCCCCAGAGAGCATGCGCTCCGCCATGCTGCCAATTACAATACCACAAGGAGCAAAAACCATCAGTAATGCAGTGCAAGCAGCAGGGGAGACAGGGGGACTTGGAAGAAAAGAGGCAGAGTAGCAGAAAGCTGCATCAACACATCAACTCCACTGGGCCCTCTTGGACCTCTAACCTTCTCATGATTGCTCACCTGTCTTTTAATCACCTCACACCACTCACCTGTGCCCCTCACATGTCATCATAATCCCTCACCTGCCCCCCTCACGTCTCATTATAACCCCCCCTCACCTGTCCTCCAGCAGCCTCATGATGGCTCGTCGCAGCGGCCTGGCACCGTAGCTGGGGCTGTAGCCCTCATCCACCACCCGGTCCCTGAACCTCTCCGTCACCTGCATAACAGCAAGGGGCAGGACGGCACAAAGGGGAAAGCACAGGCACGGAGGGGAAAGCACAGGCACAGAGGGGAAAGCACAGGCACGGAGGGGAAAGCACAGGCACGGAGGGGAAAGCACAGGCACGGAGGGGAAAGCACAGGCACGGAGGGGAAAGCACATGCACGGAGGGGAAAGCACAGGCACGGAGGGGAAAGCACAGGCACGGAGGGGAAAGCACAGGCACGGAGGGGAAAGCACAGGCACGGAGGGGAAAGCACAGGCAGGGAAACAATGAGACGCGTGAGGAAGGATGAAACACAGGTACACAACCGTTAGGGCTCAAGCCAGCCCTCATGCACCACTGGGTCGGGTCAATGAGCCGCAAAATCCGCTGCAGGGGCGAGGAGGGTCAAACACCTTCTTGAGCATAATCTTGCTCATCTCCTTTACCTTCCTTGCCTTACAACCCCCCCCCCCCCCCCCCCCACCTACAGCACCCCCACTCCCTCCTCCCTCTCAGCCACCCAGTCACACCCACCTGCAGGTCAATGTCTTTCTTAAAAAGGCGATCAAGCACCTCCTTCAGCATGATTTCGCTCATCTCCTTGACCTCCCTTGCATCAGACGCCCTTCCATCCCCAGCCCCCACCACTCTATGATCTCCTCCAGCCAATTCAAAACTTGCTCCCCCTCCCAACAGCAACCCAACAACCCCCCTCCCCTCCATACAGTCACACCCACCTGGAGGTCAATGTCCTTCTTGGTAAGGCGGTCGAACACCTCCTTGAGCATGATGTTGCTGATCTCCTTGACCTCCTGCTTGGTGAGCTGGCGGAACACAATGATCTCGTCCAGCCGGTTCAGGAACTCGGGGCGGAAGTACTGCTTCAGCTCCTCGTTCACCAGCGACTTGATGCGGTTGTAGCTCGTGTCCTTCTCCCCGTAGTCCAGCTGCTCAGAGGGAGTCAAAGGTTTAACGAGAGGGAAGGGACGAGTGGCATATAAGTTTCATAATCTGTAATTTTCCCGCCAGGAGGCAGGTAAAGGTTAAGGGGCAGGGGACTGGGAAGGGTTGGTCCTCCAGATATGGAAAAAAACGGGTGTTGCTTTAGTACGGACAAAAGAGAAGTATTCGCTTTACAAAAGCTGTACTTGTGAAGCACTAAATCCGTGGCGCCACCTACCTGGAAGCCAATGCCTCCGCCGCCCTTCTCAATGACGGAGGAGCCGACGTTGGAGGTCATGATGAGCAGCGTGTTCTTGAAATCCACCGTGCGCCCCTTGCTGTCCGTCAACCGCCCGTCCTCCAGAATCTGGTGTGTCAGAAAGCGGAGGACAAATGCACGAGGGGAGAGAGGAGGAAAAGCGGGCAGGGAAGGGGGAATGTGTGTGTGGGTGGATGGGAATGCTGTCATTCACATACTGGATGGGATGTGTGAGTCTCCGAGGTCAATAAGCGCAGAATCGAAGGCTTTTCTTTAAAAAATTGTGGTGCCAATTTCTAAGTCTCTCAATCTCATCAAAACAGCACCGCATGTCCTTCAGCCTTGGCACTCCATAGACCGAAAGCCTGCACTGCCCCACCTGAGCATCATATTCTACGATACTTGTGTAGCATAACAATGACACGGTACCTGCAGCATCATGTTGAAGACATCAGGGTGAGCCTTCTCAATCTCGTCAAACAGCACCACCGTGTACGGCCGCCGCCTCACAGCCTCCGTCAGCTGCCCGCCCTCGCTGAACCTACCCCCTTGAGGACAGCCTCTAGTCTTACCATTTCAAAACCCGAAACCTGCAACACCAACCTACCCAGAGCAGTAGGGTTCCACCATACCTGGAGCATCATGTTGAAGACGTCAGGGTGGGCCTTCTCAATCTCGTCAAACAGCACCACCGTGTACGGCCGCCGCCTCACAGCCTCCGTGAGCTGCCCTCCCTCGCTGTACCCCACGTAACCGGGGGGCGAACCAATGAGCTTGGACACCGTGTGGCGCTCCATGAACTCCGACATGTCCAGCCGCACCATGGCCTGGGGAAGAGTGAGAAGGATAGAGACAGGTGTTAAGGATAGGTAGTGTGCAGATGAGCGAGTCAATGAGCTTGGACACTGTGTGGTGCTCCATGAACTCCGACATGTCCAGCCGCACCATGGCCTGAAACCGGGGGGCGAAAGGAGGGGGTGGGGAGAGAGGGGGGGGAGAAGGAAAGAGTACACGTGAACTCACTGTCACTCCATGCAGTCGACCTCTGACATTCCGACACACCCCTTGCCCAGGGACGAATTCGCACTTACTATCTCGCAAAGAAGAGCTTCACCCACACGCATTACCTACCTGCTCCGTCCCAAACCACTCATCTTCTCGCACCTGCCCACACCTTCTCACTCCTTCCAACCGCGCATCATGCTCACCTCCTCGGAACCGAAGTAGTAGGAGGCGAGGGACTTGGCGAGCTCGGACTTGCCGACACCCGTGGGACCCGAGAAGATGAAGCTGGCAATGGGGCGGTTGGGGTTCTTCAGCCCCACACGCGCACGACGGATGGCGCGACTACGGGGGAGGGATGACGGGGAGAAGACGGGGGGAAGCAGGAGAGACGAGGTGAGGGAGGGCGGCGGGAGCGGGCGGGGCAGGGGAGGGAACGGGGGGAGGGGGGGGGGAGGGGAGGGGTGGGCAGATGGGTGGGGGGTATATCGGATGAGAAACACGCTCATGCTCACAAGCCCATGCACCCACCTGATGGCCTTGACGGCCTCGTCCTGGCCAATGACGCAGTTGTGGAGCAGGCGGCTGCTCTCAGCCGCGCTAACACTCACATGCACACGTTCTCAGGCACGCTCACACAGGCACGCGTTTCCCCACCTGATGGCCTTGACGGCCTCGTCCTGGCCAATGACGCGGTTGTGCAGCGTCTCCTCCATCTTGAGCAGGCGGCTGCTCTCGTCGCTCGACACCTTGTCCACGGGGATGCCCGTCCACGCGCCCACGATCTGGTGGATGTCCGCCTCCGTCACCACTGGCCCACCCGCGCCCCCTGACGCCTCCACCTCCGCCTTGCTCTGCTCCTTGGTCTTCTCCATGATGGCGCTGATCTGCGTCTTCAGGTCCATCTCCTGGTCACGCAGCTCGCCCGCCTGGAGGAGTCAAAGTGGGGGGAAGAGGGAGGACGAGAGAGTGTGGGGTGGGGTGGATAACATTCGGCCGTTGCCTTCGGACCCACGCACTAAGGGATGGAAGAAAACGACAATGGCAACAATTATCTGCAAGTTTTTATTTACTTGAAAAATAGCCCGTGAGTCTCGCTTTAACCCAAGTCCTGGTTGCAGAAAAGCCTGCTTATCGCCATTCATCAATTCTCGCAGCTGTTTCTCGAGCACCTAAAAAGGATCCCCCGTGTCCTCCTCTTACCTTCTCACAAAGACCATCCTCCCACCTTCTCGAAGTCCTGGTTGCGGACGGCCTCGTTCTTATCCTTGGTGATCTGCCTCAGCTGCTTGTCGAGCTCCTTGGCCTCCTCGAAAAACCTTCCAACACCCTTCCCTCTCTCTCACCTTGTCGCTGCAACTCCGCTCTCACAATCGCACCGCTCACCTTCTCAAAGTCCTGGTTGCGGACGGCCTCGTTCTTGTCCTTGGTGATCTGCCTCAGCTGCTTGTCGAGCTCCTTGGCCTCCTCGAAAAACCTTCCAACACCCTTCCCTCTCTCTCACCTTGTCGCTGCAACTCCGCTCTCACAATCGCACCGCTCACCTTCTCAAAGTCCTGGTTGCGGACGGCCTCGTTCTTGTCCTTGGTGATCTGCCTCAGCTGCTTGTCGAGCTCCTTGGCCTCCTCGGGCATCTGCGCGTGGCGCAGGCGCACCCTCGACCCGGCCTCGTCGATCAGGTCAATGGCCTTGTCGGGCAGGAAGCGGTCGCTGATGTACTGGTACGACAGCTGCGCGGCGGCCGCGAGAGCCTCGTCCGTGTAGCGCAGCTTGTGGTGAATCTCGTAGCGCTCGCGCAGACCCTGCAGGATCAGAATCGTCTCCTCCACCGTGGGCTCCGGCACCTGGTGCGTGGGGGGAGAGGAGGGAAGGAGGAGGGCAAGATGGAAGCGGGGAGGGAGCGGGAAGCAATGGCCCCGGGAGGGATGAATGAGGAACATCTGTATGGCACCGTCTCGTGCATTCAAAGACAGACTGAACACGGATGCCAAGCAAGTGTGGGAGGGGGAGAAGACCAACTTGAAAAGCACCAACTTGGAAGAACGTGGAAAGCAAATCCTAGCTATCTATGGAAGCACTGCCTTCAACCACGCACAAGCCCCTCCCACAAACCAACACTCACCTGACCACCCTTTCAACTCTCTGCCCCTCTCCCCCCCCCCTTCCCTCCCAACCCACCAAAAGAGCGAGTCCTGTCCTCACCTGCACGGGCTGGAAACGACGCTCGAGAGCGGGGTCCTTCTCAATGTGCTTGCGGTACTCGTCGATCGTCGTCGCGCCGATGCACTGAGAGGAGAGCACGCGGAGGGGGACAGGGTTTACCGCACAGAAACTTAGTAAGAGAAGCAAAACATCGAGATATCAGAGCGTGTGTGATGGGGAAGCGGGAATAAGGGGGAGAAGGAAGGCATCGGAGAAACAGCAAGTGGCATTGAGATCAACTGAGGGAGCATTGCAGGCAAGAAATGTAGGCCACCGACAGCATCTCTCACAAAGCATAGAACTATTTTGGAATTAAAGACACACAAAACAGAGCAAACCGCACCTGCAGCTCGCCGCGAGCCATGGCGGGCTTGAGGATGTTGGCGGCGTCGATGGCGCCCTCCGCGGCTCCCGCGCCGATGAGCGTGTGGACCTCGTCGATGAAGAGAATGATGTCGTCCGCCTGCTTGATCTCGTCCATCAGCTTCTTCAGCCGCTCCTCGAACTCTCCACGGTACTTCGTCCCCGCTACAAGCAGACCCATGTCCAGGGTCACGACCTGGGAAGGCAAGGGAACGGCGAAGGAGAAGCGCGATGAGGTGAGGATTCCGTCCGCCTGCTTCATTTCGACAACCTCTTTTACAAGGTGGCTAAGTAGCGGATTGTGGTCTCCACAACAATGCAACTATGCAACGGCGCCAGCGTACGGGCTTCCAAGATACATGAGCGAGTGAGGAGTAAGGAGTCGGACACACGAACATCGGACAGCGACGGCCACTCAAACCTTACCTTCTTGCCCTCCAGCGTCTCGGGAACATCGCCGCCAGCAATGCGCTGCGCGAGGCCCTCGGCGATGGCGGTCTTGCCGACTCCGGGCTCGCCGATGAGGCAGGGGTTGTTCTTCGTGCGGCGACCCAGGATCTGCGTCACACGCTCGATCTGCGACACGCGCCCCACCACCGGGTCCAGCTTGCCCTGCGGAACGGAGTAGGCAGGAAAGACAGAGCGAGGGAGATGATGATGCAAAGGGGGATACATAGATGGTACACTAGGGCGTCACACACTCTTTATCTGCGTCTCGACCCTAGGACCGGGTCCAGGTTGCCCTGAGGAAGGATGAGAACGACACATTCCACTCGGCGAGCTTTGTGAAATTGGTACCCTATTCGATTTTGAAATTGCATTTCGCACACATCGTAAAAAACGATGTTACAAACCACTCACTTCCTCGGCGAGCTTGGTGAGGTTGGTGCCGTACTCCTCGAGCGTGGGCATCTTCGAGTTGCTGCTGCCGCCGCCCACTCCGGCACCCACGGCCTCCGCGCTCTCGCCCACCATGCGGATCACCTGGCACAGACGGGCGAGAGAAGCAAATAGATTTATTAAAACAGAGCGTTTGAACGGTGATTGAGATGAAATCACGCCGGGTATCTGGGAGCGGGTATTATTTGAAGGCGGCTGTTAGCAGGAAGGTGTTAGATGGAAGCGGCTGTTAGCTGGGAGCGCTTGTTACCTGGGAGCGAATGTTGCCGGCGTCGGCACCGAGGTTCTCAAAGACGCGAGCAGCGACGCCCTCGCCCTCGCGAAGGAGACCGAGCAGAAGATGCTCCGTGCCGATGTAGTTGTGGCCTGCGATGGGTGAGACAAAAAGAATATCAAATTATAAACTCAAATTATGATATAAACGCCACGCTAGCCACGCGATCGCCCTCGCAAAGGAGATCCAACAGCAGATATTTCGTGCCGATGTAGTTGCAACCTGCGATGGAGAGTAGGACGTGAGACATTTGAGATTCAACTTAAAGCTTCGATAACCATTACGTTGCCCTTGCGAAGACGTAGGTGCTCCATGTTGTGGGCAGCTTGTCGTAAGCATACGAACTAAGACGAAGATGGGATTGGTTCGGCGTACGAGGGTTCAAAAATCAGATAACTTACCAAGTTGACGCGCCTCCTCCAGCGAGAGCTCGAGCACGCGCTTGGCACGCGGGGTGAACGGAATCTCCACAGCGACGAAGCCAGACCCGCGGCCGATGATCTTCTCGACCTCAACGCGCGCCTCCTTGAGGTTCACGCCCAGCGACTTGAGCACCTTGGCAGCGATGCCCGTGCCCTCGCCGATGAGACCCAGGAGGATCTGCTCCGTGCCGACGAAGTTGTGGCCCAGACGACGCGCCTCCTCCTGAGCAAGCATGATCACCTTAATGGCCTGGAGGGGGGGAAACATAACGGGGTGGAAGAATGTGTCAGAAAGGTGACCTTGATAAAGCGACATTTCTGGAGTCATCGTGATCACCTCGATAGCCTGGTGTGATGCGGAGAGTGGTTGTTCACGGATCAAGACACGAGTGAGTGTATCAGAGTTGGTAAGGCAGGCCGACAAATATGATTTGTTTGTGGCGCGAAGTGTGCGCAAAGGATGAACAGATCCCGTGTGCGCTCGGGACCAACGTAAGGAGAACGAGGACGAAATGCACGACAAGTAGCGGTAGTTCTACGGAATTTGAAAATCGCTAATGATGTAAGTTCGAGCTGAGATGAAATCATTGCTAGCATTATGTTGAGGTGGAATTCTTTAATGAAAACTCGTTGGATCAGATAGAAGCGACGCCTGGTCGCACCTTCTCCGTGAATCGCTCGAACATGGCGACGGCGACACCGCGCGATGCCTTGCCAGATCGCCCGGCTTTAGACTGCTTAGCGACCACAGACGCAAGGCTGGCCCCCTCCTTAGCCGCTCCGATCGCCTGACCATGGCTCCTAAGCCCTGAGAACGACTGCAGGGCACGTGGCGCAGTGACACTGGTCGCAGCGGAACGACGAGCTCTCCTACCAGCCCCGGTCGTGCTGACTGAACCGACGACCTTGGTTGAGACCAAAGCAGACGACGGCGCAATGGCTCCTGTCATGATTAACTAGTTCTTACGACCCTGAAACGTTAGGAGCCGGTCTTCTTTTAACAAGTACTCAGCAGGGCCTGAAATGGAAATCGGATAGAGCTCCCGTAGACCAGTGACCTGACCACTTGCCTAGTCAAGAAGGCTGAGTGGAAATAAGGGACGGACTCTAGTGAGCTTTCACCAGGATCAGGGATCGTCAGGCAGACCCGTTTTACCAATCCTTGATGGGTTCAGGGATCCGCTTGAGAGAGCGGGTAAGACTAGGGGTGAGATAAGGCGGAGGGCGGTGAAGAGTAGTGGAGAGGGACGATTGCACGAGAGGGAGAGAGGTGCGTTGGGAGGAGGGACTTGGGAGGGAAGCGTGAGCAAGGCTACCTTGAGAATTTCGTGCGTCATCCCTCAAGGCACGGGTTGAGTACTGTAATCCTTGGAGAGTGAGGTGGTTGGGTGGTCGTGTACACGTGGCTAGCCGCTGCGGATGACACCATGGCATGGCCTGTCGACGAGGAACAAGGTGATAACGCTTTGCAACAAGGTGAATGACTCGGGAGGGAGAGAGACTGACCCTGAGATGGGAATCTAACGGTCAAAATCAAGGGTCTGTGAACGCTGACTAGCGACAGCCACATGCTTTTCAACCTGTAACAAACGTCCAACCAAAACTGGGCAAACAGTTCTCGTTACAAGATACCCTAGGCGGAGTGCCATCGAGGTGTAGCTATGTAAATATCAAATCAATTTACAAATATGAACCCTTGCACATGATCTCACATACAGGTTTCTACAATACGAAATAACAGGTCTATAGGATTGGCTCAGGTTGATCACACACACTGTAGCAGCGGAAGAAGTACTATTGGTTGAGTGGCGACTCTGTAAGTAGAGGGAGATTTTAATCTCGATATAAGTTATTATACCAATGCGATACAATAGTTTATATATGATTAAAAGAGAATACGAGGATCCTAGCTAGCCATGTGCTCTGAGGGGGTACATTCGCCTTATGGCTAATATAGATCTGGGGAAACAACCGTTCGGTTTGGTAACCGCACGCGGCTTGGTAACCGTTTGGACGTATTTCCAGTGTTGGGGTAAAGTTTTCACACGTATGGTTATACCGCAAATGTTTGCGCGGTAATGGTTGCGCTGGCGTGGCAGATTCTTGGTGAGAAATTCAGCTGCCATGTCACCGATGGGGTGGTTGGTCAATGTGCTTTGTCTTTTGCAGACTGGACTTTGACGAAGAAGTACCGGAGCGCGAGCCCCTTTGGTTGTCGTAGTTAAGTTTGGAGCTTGCGGATGTCACCATTTTCGCCGATTGGAGGAGTTCACGTAGGTAAGGCCCTTCCCGAACGGCTGATGTGGCAGCGATGAATTCCGCTTCGGCGAAGGAGACCGATACTATTTCCTGTTTCTGGGAGCTACGAGAAATTGGTCCGGTGGCCTCGTGACGAAACAAAATGTCAAAATCTTGAGCTAGGCTAAGGAGCCATAGCTAGTTAGAACAAGAATTGGGTATCGAGTGAGTTTGAGTTAGGAGAGTCGAGAAAGTTGAAAAGAGAAGAGGAGGGGTTTCACTATAGAGCGAGCAGTACATATAGGCAAGATGAAAGGTGCACCACCAAAACAGAACATTATATAACTACACTAGTCTACACTACAGGCAATTACAAAACAATATATAGATTTATATATTATTCTGACACGCCCCCATAAGTGCCTGTAGGGAAGAATATGCAGTCAACGCCCCCATAATGGGGTACACCAAGAGTGCGTAGCAGTACGGGAGAGGGCAGGCAAGGAGGAGGAGAGAGGGAGAGAGAGAGAGGGAGAGAGAGGAGAGGAGGTGATAGGCTCTGGTTGGTCACCACATACATCCCCTCATCCTCCCCCTCCCCCTCCCCCTGCTGCAGGAGCAGCAGAGGGGGGGGACAAACGGAGGAGAATGGAGCCGTAGGGCCAGGGGACCACACTCACCCATCACCCCCACACCCGCCACCCCCAGTCCCTCCCCGGGCTCTCCACACTATCACACCCTCCCCCCAGCAGCAACTGCAGCAGAGGGAACAAAAGGAGGAGGAGAAAGGGGGGGGGGAAAGGGGGGGGAGGGGGCCGACGCACGGCCTCCCCGGGCGCCAAAGCAAGCGGCAGAGGGGGCGACGACTCCCCCCCCCTTTCAGGTCGCCCGCGGCCCCCGAAGGAGCCGCGACAGGTGACGGGAAGAAGGGGGGGGGGCGGGACCGCAAGTGGGCGGTGCCGAAGTGGGCGACGGGGCCGCAAGGGTGGGCGGGGCCGCAGGTGGCGACGGGGCCTCAGTTGGCGGGGCCGCAGGTGACATCGGGGCCGGGGCCGAGGGCGGCGACGGGGCCGCAACAGAGGGCGGCGGGGCCGCAAATGTGGGCGGGTCCGCAGGTGGCGATGGGGCCGAAGGTAGGGCGGCGAGACGGCCGCAGGTAGGGCGGCGGGTAGGCCGCAGGTAGGGCGGCGGGACGGCCGCAGGTAGGGCGGCGGGTGGGCCGCGACGGAGTGGCGGGGCCGCTCGAAGGAGTGGCGGGGCCGCGACGAAGTGGCGGGGCCGCGCGAAGGGGAGGCGGGGCCGCGACTAAGTGGCGGGGCCGCTCGAAGGGGTGGCGGGGCCGCGCGAAGGGGTAGCGGGGCCGCGACTGGGTGGCGGGGCCGCTAGAAGCGAATAAGGGGCACGCCACGGGGCGTGCCAAACACAGAGTAGCAGCGGAAGCTTTAAAGTGGGGTCCACAGGTCAGGACCTTGTCACTCTGATAGCATGTCAGAATCTTGAGCTAGGCTAAGGAGCCATAGCTAGTTAGAACAAGAATTGGGTATCGAGTGAGTTTGAGTTAGGAGAGTCGAGAAAGTTGAAAAGAGAAGAGGAGGGGTTTCACTATAGAGCGAGCAGTACATATAGGCAAGATGAAAGGTGCACCACCAAAACAGAACATTATATAACTACACTAGTCTACACTACAGGCAATTACAAAACAATATATAGATTTATATATTATTCTGACACAAAAACCCGGTTCGGGACCGTCGATTTGCTTGATCTCCTTCGTGACTGTGGTCCACGTAGCCAACGAGGCTGAACGAGCAAGTCGTGAGGGTGGAGTAAACAAGGCGATTATGGAGAGTGGATTTGAAGTACTGTAGGGCCCGTTGTAGGTCCAACATATCATCCCCTTCAGGTCGCTAAGCGTACGTAGCGAGTTGGCTATAAATGTATGGATGGTCGGGCCTGCAGATTACCGCGGAAAAGAGGAGACACCCAAGCAGCAGTTGGTAGAGCTAATGTGCAGTTGGGTTGAGTAGGGTGACATTGGGAACGTGGGGTGTTACTGGTGTGCGGTAAGGTGTGGAGATGGGTGATGGTTTGATTTTGAATTTGGCTGACAGTGTGTCGGCATACGCGACAGAGAGATGGATGACGTCGGTTGAGTAGGAGATATTTAATCCCTGAAAATGCCTGACTATTGGTCCAAGTGATGACTTTGTCCAACTAGACTCCTGGTCCAAATTAACGCTTAGTCCAAGTGACGACTTGGTCCAAGAAAGCATTTGGTCCAAGTGAGCACTCGGTCCAAGTGAGCACCTCGTCCAAGTGAGCCCTTGGTCGAAGTGTGACTTGGTCAGAGTGAGCACTTGGTCCAAGTGATGACTTGGTCCAAGTGACGACTTGGTCCAAGTGATGACTTGGTCCAACCGACGGCTTGGTTTAAGTGACGACGACTTGGTCCAAGTGAGCACTTGGTCCAAGTGACGACTTGGTTCGAATGAGCACCTGGTCCGAGTGAGAACTTGATCCGAGTGAGCACTTGGTCCGAGTGAGCACTTAGTCCAAGTGACGATTTGGCCCAAGTGACAATTTGGTCCAAGTTAGCACTTGGTCAACGTGAGCACTTGGTCCAAGTGACGACTTGGTCAAAGTGAGTTCTTGGTCCAGGTGACGACTTGGTCCAAGTGAGCACTTGGACCAGGTGTCGACTTGGTCCAAGTGAGCACGTGGTCCAAGTGACGACTTGGTCCAAGTGAGCACTAGGTCCAAGTGAGCACCTGTTCCAAGTGATGACTTGGTCCATTTGACGACTGCGTCCATGTGAGCATGTGGTCCAAGCGAGCCCTTGGTCCAAGTGACAATTTGGTCCAAGTGAGCACTTGGTCCAGGTGACGACGTGGTCTAATTGACGACTTGGTCCAAGTGAGCATGTGGTCCAAGTGAGTTCTTGGTCCAAGTGACGACTTGGTCCAATTGAGCACATGGTCAAGGTAACGACTTGGTCCAAGTGAGCACGCGGTCTAAGTGACGACTTGGTCCAAGCGAGAACTAGATCCAAGTGAGCACTTGGTCCAAGTGACGACTTGGTCCAAGTGATGA